TGTGTCTCTTATAAAATGTATTTGCAATGAATAAGTCATTGATTTTACAAAATTCAATCATTCTATCTCCAGCCTCATTCCTGTCACCAAGCCCATGCCTTCCGACAACCGATTCTTCTTCACTATTCCCAACTTTTGCAGTCCAGTCACCCATTATTATCAATGCATCTTGATTAGAGATTGAAAACCTTACCTTTTCCGAGAACATGGCTTCGCAGCTCTTCCCTTCTCTGCTGTTTTTATGTCTTGTGCACCGTTGCACATTTAGGCCGATTGCAGAGGCTGAACAGGCTGCAATAAAACACTGTGATTGACACTGGAGAAACTGTTATTCATTTGGAGTTGACGACTCCTGATGATCTTCTCTGTTGTGAAGTCTTACATAAAATGGTCGTCGATATCTCTGAGCCTAAAGTATCTCTGATTGACTTTCTTTTAGCCAGAACCCTGGGTCAGGAACCTGTTTAGGGACCTGGTCCTGTTTCAGAGATTATAAGAACAGCAAGTTCCACTCTTGTCTAAAATGGATGTTGGTTTAATCTGTTCTGTGAGCCTTCCAGTTTGCCATGTTGTTGTTATGTGCCATCAAGTCACTTGTGACTCATAGCGACCCTATGTACAACAGCCCTATACCCTGCTCTTTCCTGTGCCAGTCTCACTGTCTCCGACACACCAACCCCCGTTACCCCAGTCACTAAAACAGTCCATCTCATCAAGGGTCTTCCTCTCCTGCACTGCATGCATTTCATAAATAATAATAAAACCTAACGGTTTTTAATTGCTAGATGAAATCTTCAAAATAAATGTCATTTTGCATATCCAGAATATATTACACCTGTTAGATCTTTGTCAGGAATGTTTCTCACATAGCACCTTTTTTAATGATGAAGGGGGAAATGAGGTGAACACAAGTCTAGGATGCCACAGAAAAAAAAAAATCCATGACTAAAAAGTGCATATTCATGCATATTTATAAAGGTAAAGATCAGCATGTCTACCATTTATGGTTTGTCGGATTAGTCAAGGCCTCCCAAAGACTTTTGCAACTAGTTAGTTTCTGATGTGAAATACAAGTCTGCTCTGGACTGCAGAAGGAGGCACGCCCCTGTGCTAAAGTTAGCCAGAATGGCATCATTTATTTAGAGTAAGATGTTTCTCCAGATTTCACACAAACTTCTCATTATCACTAGATGGCTCTGCTTCTTAGATAATAAATACCCTTTTATATGTTGGCAATAAAGTAGTAATAAACTTAGGCATTCATAGAGTCGTTGTTATGTGCCGTCGAGTCGCCTCCCGCTCATAGTGGCCCTGTGTACAAAAGCCCTAAACCCTGCTCGGTCTTGTGCCAATCACACTGTCTCCGACACACCTAACCCCATTACCTCTGTCACTGAATCAGTCCATCTCATTGAAGGTCTTCCTTTCTTGCACTTTCCCTCCACCCTCCCAAGTATGATGTCCCTTTCCTAGGACTGATCTCCCTTGCTTCATGTCCAAAGTATGTCAAGACGAAGCCTCAGAATCCTTCCCTCCAAGGAGTAGCCTGATTTCACCTTCTCTAGGATGAACCTGTTTGTTCTCCTAGCAGTCTGTGGTATATTCAATACTCTTCTCCAGCACCACAGCTCAAAGGCATCAATTCTCTATCATCCCTAGCAATTGTCCCGCTTTCTGAGGCATAGCAAGTAATTGCAAAGACTATGGCCTGGGTCAGGTGCACTTTAGTCTCCAGACTGACACCATTGTTCTTAAGTACTTTGGAGAGTTCTCTGACAGCTGACTTTCCCAATGTAATTTGTCTTTTAATTTCCTGGCTGCTGATACCGAGGGTTGATTGTGGAGCCAAGCAAACTAAAGCTGTTAACAATCCCAATCTCTTCACCATCTCTCACGAATTCACAAAGTATAGCATAAACAAAAATTTTCCCTTCATTTCTTAGAGAACGCCTAAGATGATAGATGAGAAACATAGTTATTTCTAAAATTAGGTAGAACATTTTCAAAACAGAAAGGTATTACAAATAGCTTCAGTAAGAGTCTAAGAATAAACGGACTGTGTTTATATTCTCAGTTACCCTAATATATTTCCTTAACTAGGGTAGTAGGGCGAGGTGTGTCAGAGTCAGTGAGACTCGCTCAGGATATGGCAGGAGTCAGAGCTGTTGTAGTCTCAGGCAACTCAGTGATGGCACATAAAAATAGTGACCATAGGCACATCTTAAGGATACACATTTGTATCCTTGGTTCCCATTTTGCTAACGTAGTATTTGTCCCCTCCACCTTCCCCCCCCAAAAAATACCAAACCCGCTGCCATCAAAGCAATTCCAATTCGTGACTCTCCCACCCACCCAAGATCAGTTTTATAATACTAGAACTTTGTAGGAGAAGACTGCCTCCTCTGCAGTCACACAGGAGTTGATTGCCCATCTTTCTCCCATGGAGCAGCTGGTAGATTTGAACCTTGTGCCTTTGGGTTGGCAGTACACATCCTTGCCACTATGCCACCAGAGCTCCGTTTTGTTTGTGGATGATCACATTCTGAAAATGGATGACATCTTTAGATTTGGTTTCTTTTTTAGTACATTTTGAAGA